CTTGTCCTGGACTCTATCTAAGGACATTTCTTTTCCAGAAGTATCAAAAGACCTAAATAGAGGGAGAGGAGAGAGAAAGAAGCTACAGAAACGTCACATGCACTCTGTGGCTCTCTATAGTAGAAAGAATACAGACGAAGAGAATGAAGCCAGGGATCTAGTCCTGGTTCTGTCCCTTATTGATGTGACCTTCAGAAATTCACTGAAGCATGCTTCACTTTAATGTTTTTATCTGTAAATTGGGTCTTTAAAAATTTATGTCAAAATTTCTCATTGTGAATAAACCAGACAATGTATGTAAAAATGCTTTTTATATAATAAAATATTATGTACATATTGGGTATAACTATTTATTACAAATAGAACATTAAATTATACATTGCAATGTTTAGAATGACTGAGGGTAAATTCCTGGAATTTCTTTAGTAGTCGTTCGTAATTCTCAATCACACATAATGTCTGTGGTATCTTTGTCAATAAGAAATTTCAAAGCCAGCCTGATTTTGTGCCACTTGGACCTTGCTTCTATATCTCTTGTAATCAGCTTGTTTCTGCTTAGAGAATATAAACTAATTTCAGTATTAGCTGAAAATAGACATAATTAGGAAAGTTAGCATGTAAGGAGACTGTGTGTTTGTAATTCAAAGTCCAAGAAAAAAGTAATTTTTTTGTTCCTTTACTATTCATATTTATACCCACCATTGTTTTTTTGTCGGGACAGCAAGTATAAAGGAATAATTTCGTATCATCTTTTGGGGAATGATAGTATCTTTTTCCCATTTTGAGTTAGTTATTTCTTTGGAGAAAACTGAAATATTCTCAGATTAATTTTAAAGGTTAAAATCTTTCTTAACATGGTTCTCAAAAAGGAATTTAAATGAAAGTTGAAATCTTTCAATGTATTAAATTTTATTTCTCAGAATGGTAGCTGTTAGTAACCCCTAAGCACATACTATATATAAAGATCTCCACTCTATTCTAGAACGATTTTAAAGCATTGTATGTTCATTTGGGGTTTTATAATAATAAGCATGCTCATTAGGCATGAAAATCGTCTACCAGGAATTAATTAGGGACATAATCTTGAATCTATTTTGCCTTAGGAATATATTTCAATCAATGTTTTACTATAGATTTGTATTTAGAATTTTTAAGCTGCTTCTGTCATATAGCTTGGGTTATATCAGGGCTGGGTAATAATGAGAGCTAAAAGCTGTATGTCTAAAAATCTAATTGAAAAGGTAATCAGATGGGCTCTACAAAATTCAACAGACCATAAAAGCTAGCATTCTAAAATATCTGAATTAATTAAATTTCAAATCCAAAAAAAGAAATCTTGAGCATAATAGTATTGACTCTAAATTGAAATAAATTTTTATGAAATTTTATATAATAGAATAGAATTTTATATAGTAGAAATAATTTTTCCTGTTACACTTAGAGTTAACCATTTCTAATGTTAAAATTTACTTTTATTAGCAAGATTTGTTGAAGAATGAACAAAATCAAGAAGAAATGATACTTGATTTACTTTGGGATCTCTCCTGCCAGAGCAGCGTTTCATTCCCATCGACTCTAAGTGGAACATCTTTCCATTTCCTCTCTAGGACTTCTCTTCATTCTGTTGAAGATCATTCCTCTATGGATGCAAAATCTATATGGGATGATATAAGACTGCATCTTCGACGCTTCTTAGTGAGGAAGTTGCAAAGCTACAATGAAATAAACAATTCACAGCAAAAAATTTTATTGAAAAATCAATGCTTACAACAACTCTTGTTTCTTTATCCAGAATCGGATGTTATAATCAAGTACCAAAACATACAGAATAAACTGTTGGCTAAAGTTCTGCAGAACTTTTTTCCTTCTTACAGCAGAGATTCAAATTTAGACATAATAGTTCATGGATGTCAAAGCACAATGCTTAAGTTATACTCAATGCTAAAAGAGGATTTTAACATACTCTGTGAAATTTTAGCTCCGTCTTCGACAGTGAAATTCATTAAAGAAACTTACCTGGATACAGTTACAGAAGAAATGGCAAAATTTCTTGAAAATTTTTGTGAGCTGCAGTTCAAAGAAAATGCCGTCCGTGTGGTTAAAACAAGCAAGAGCTCCAGCAAGCATAGAGGAGCAGTGCATGCTTTGGGTTAGTGACATTTAAAATTTTTGTTTGGTTTAACTTAAGCAGCCTTTGATACCTTTAATTTTCTAAGATTTTCTATGTGATTAAATCTTACTGCAAACTTGAAAATAAATTAGAAAATAAATGTAATGAAACTTTGCAGTATACGTTTCTCGTATGCATTCCTTTTTCTGTTAAGTGTAGTCATAGAAGTGTTTTCTTTCCTGTTAAATTGTTAAAGATATTAGAAATATAAGCCAAAAATATTTCAAATTAGAGTTTTATTTCTCTTGATTATGTATAACGAAAAGTAAAGTATTTACGGTTATTGACTGACTTAAAGAAACCCAAGGCT